ACAGTAGCTAAATATGAACAGTTACTAAATCTCTTAAGAGAAAGACCTACTGTTAAAAAAGAAAAATAAAAAATGTTTCAACTTCTAGGTAAAGTCTAACACATTGCATTTTCCCCTCCCAGTCAAAGAAATCTTTTCACAAGGCAACAAAGAAGGTACAGTTTCAGTATAAAAGCATTCTAGTAAAAGTAAAGCATCATCAAGTTTTTGATCATATTCAGATGCAACTAGCTAGACATTTTGATTTCAGAAGCTCCTCTCAGCTGTGAACTGTCCTGGGAGTACTGGTGGATAGTCAGCTGAATATGAGCCAGCAGTGTGCTCAGGTGGCCAAGAAGGCCAACGGCATCCTGGCTTGCATAAGAAGCAGTGTGGCCAGCAAGGCTAGGGAGGTGATCGTCCCCCTGTACTCGGCTCTGGTGAGGCCGCACCTCGAGTACTGTGTTCAGTTTTGGGCCCCTCGCTACAAGAAGGACATCGAGGTGCTTGAGCGAGTTCAGAGAAGGGCGACAAAGCTGGTGAGGGGCCTGGAGAACAAGTCCTACGAGGAGTGGCTGAAGGAGCTGGGGCTGTTCAGCCTGGAGAAGAGGAGGCTCAGGGGCGACCTTATTGCTCTCTACAGGTACCTCAAAGGAGGCTGTAGTGAGGTGGGGGTTGGCCTGTTCTCCCACGTGCCTGGTGACAGGACGAGGGGGAATGGGCTTAAGTTGCACCAGGGGAGTTTTAGGTTAGATGTTAGGAAGAACTTCTTTACTGAAAGGGTTGTTAGACACTGGAACAGGCTGCCCAGGGAGGTGGTGGAGTCACCATCCCTGGAAGTCTTTAAAAGATGTTTAGATGTAGAGCTTAGGGATATGGTTTAGTGGAGGACTTGTTAGTGTTAGGTCAGAGGTTGGACTCGATGATCTTGAGGTCTCTTCCAACCTAGAAATTCTGTGAACTTCAGCCCATAGCATTTTGACTACCATCTCCCAGAGGCAATGTCTCCCCAGAGCCTGGAGACATCCTCCACTGCCCAGTTTCCAGGAGCATCTTGTGCCACTGATCTCACAGGGAGTGGAGAAAGAACAGCTCACTCCACGTACACAAGTCAAATTAACTCAGACAGAACATGTTTCACTTTTCTTTTTAAAACGAATTTCACTACTTAACTCTGAAAGTATTGAAGATGGAATAATTATCAAAGTTCATATTAGCAAACCAGACAGTTAAGCTCTTGATTGCAAAAGACAGTTGCTGTCTTATTTTTTATTATGTTTAAGTTTATTATGTTTTTATGAAAAACCCTTCCTAGTGTATCAAGACTGCCTGAATCTTCTGAAATGCAGAACACTGAAGGAGACATACACCTAAAGATTTTGTAAATGATTAAAGGAGAGAAGGATATAATTGCCCATGAAAGACATGGTACAGTCAGTCCAATCAGGAAGATCAAATAAATGATCTTCCTTTCATGAGTGACTGACCTAATCATCAGAGCCCAGGATCTAACAGCATTATCAGATTTCAATTATCCAGACATTTCAGAAAAAGAAATATACAACACAGACTCTTCCCAAAATCGCTAAAATGTGCTAGAAAATGAAAATTGATACTGAGGTGGAAAAAGCAGACAGTGATGATCTCCATTCCACTCTTAAAGTGTGGGATACAAGTTAATAATGCCAGGATTATGGGTAAGATTTATTAACTTGAACAACTGTGGCTGTGAAACACAATGGCATACTTGATCTCAGGAACACAAGAGGAAAAAAAAAAATCAGGAAAATACTTGAAACCCTCTTCAAACAATGTTAAAGTACAAAGATTGAAGATTTACAAAATGGAAGTTATGTCAAGGTTCCCAAGTAAGAAAAAAAAAAAACACAAACAAAAACAATTATAAAAGTTCCTAGGGATCAAAGTGTGAAAAAGCAAAACACTAAGCAAGATGCAACTGTGAAGGGAAACCAAGGATTAGGTGAAATCATATCACATTATTATAAACAGAACAATAGATATTATCAATAGATTTTGATATGAGAAAATGGTGGTTTTGTTTTTGTCTTTTTTGTAGTAGCTTTAACTGAAAAGGGCAACTAAATTAGATTATTAGAACACCAAATAGTAAAATGTTATGTGAAAATGGGGCAGGACATCATCCTCAGATAAAGGAGAACCCTTGAGAGAATGCATGGGCAATTTAGACATTTATCACTAATTATCAGTTTATAATACTGAAAGAAAACAAAACAAATTCACAATGAAAAGATGTTATGTTTCGGAATTTGTGAAACACGGGTGAAGTAAATATATATTTTTTATATATAAGGTTTATGTAGAATCTGTTTCAAAAAGGAGAATCAAAAAGCAGTCACTGTAACACCTGTTTCTGGAATAAATCATCAAGCAACCGATACATAAACACCCAGAACAAAGCAAGAATAGTAACAGTTGGTGTGGATTTTTTTAGTAAAAAAACATGTCAAGTCAATCTAAAATTTTCTTTATGAGAGTGTAACAGGTTTTCTGACTACAGAAAAACAGTAAACATTGTTATCATGGCAGTTTCACATAATGCTCTCATATACAAATGCAGGAAGCATGATAGAGGAACCTTCTTCAACATGGGTACCGAGCCATTTAGAAAAACATGCTCTAAAAGTTCTCATGATTGAACGACAATGAAAAACCATAAATCAGTGGTTCCTTACCAGACTGAAACAACATACTAAACATGGTATCTTACACATAAGTCATCTACCGGACTTCAGTAGGTCTTTGACACAGTCCCACACAGCATCCTGATCTTCCAGTTGGAAAGATGCATTTGAAAGGTGGACCATTCAGTAGGTAAGGAATTGGCCTGAAGGCCACACCCAGAAAGTGGTGGTCAAGGGCTCGATGTCCAGGTGGAGGCCAGTGATGAGTGGTGTCCCTCAGGGGTCTCTCCTGGGACCGATACTCTTTAATATCTTCATCAACGACATAGACAGTGGGATTGAGTGCACCCTCAGCAGATTTGCAGATGACACCAAGCTGTGTGGTGCAGTTGATACAAGAGAAGGAAGGGATGACATCCAAAGGGACCTAGACAAGCTTGATAATTGGGCGCACATGAACCAAATGAGGTCCAACGAGTCCAACTGCAAGGTGCTGCACCTGGATCAGAGCAATCCCACGCAGGAGGACAGGATGGGAAAGGAAGTCATTGAGAGCATCCCTGCAGAGAAGGACTTGGGGGGTTCTGGTGGAAAAATATCTTGACATGAACCAGCAGGGTGCGCTTTCAGGCCAGAAGGCCAACTGCTTCCTGGGCTGCATCAACAGAGGAGTGGCCAGCAGGGCAAGGGATTGTCTCCATCTGCTCTGCCCTCGTGAGGCCCCACCTGGAGTGCTGTGTCCAGGGCTGGGGCCCCAGCACAAGAAGGATGTGGGGCTGTTAGAGCGGGTCCAGAGGAGGGCACAAAGATGAAAGGGCTGGAGCACCTCTGCTATGAAGAAAGGCTGAGAGCTGGGGATGTTCAGCCTGGAGAAGAAAACGTCATAGGGAGACCTCATTTCAGCCTTTCAGTACTTAAAGGGGTCTTCTAAAAAAGACACAAAGTGACTTTTTACAAGGGCAGATACTGACAGGACAAGGGGAGACAGTTTTAAGCTAAAAGAGGGAAAATTTAGATTAGATGTTAAGAGGAAATTCTTCAGAGGGTGGTGAGTCACAGGAACAGGTTGCCCAGAGAGGTTGCGAATGCCCCATCCTTGGAGGTGTTAAAGGCCAGGTTGGATGGGGTCCTGGCCAACCTGATAACTTGATAAAACTTCCACATAAAAGAACTTTGTATGTCCCACCATTGTGACCCATTCATGTAGACTAAGTGTAACCACAAAGGAAGAGACACTACAACACAAAGCAATACTTTCACTCTACTTATAGATGGCAATAAGACCTCAGCTGACCATGATATCCACCACCCTTGAAGAGCACACTACATTTCAAGAAAGATGAGGGCCATCTGGAAAGAGGCCATTGCTGAGTATGATTGGAGATACAGAATAATTAACTGTGAGTGAAAGAATGAAAAAAGTGGAATTGTCTAGGAACTAGGAAAAAGGAAGCAGAGATGGGAGATCTAGCAAATCTTCAATTACATTCAAGTGCGCTATACAGAGAAAGAAAATGGCAAAAGTAGTAAAGAGGTTGAATTGTAGTAAGAAAGCTCCATTTAGACACTAACGTAAACAAAATCTTATTAAGCTAATGAGGTACTGGAACAAACTGTCAGGAATGATCACGGAGCTTAAGAAAAATCTCTCAAAATTTACTTGCAGGTAGAGGGGAACTAAGAGACATGCGACCAGTTCCAGGCTTCTGATTTAGTGACTCCTTTTATCTACCTTTATTAACACGGTTGTTTAAAACAAACAAACTTGCTTTTCTCCAAAATAGTGGGTTTTTTTATAGTCTTTAATTAAAAGCTTTCCTGCATCCTACAATATCAGGCTCACAATTTTATCACATCAGAATAAATATTCATAGTATCCACAGTCTATCCACATTAACAGACGCAGCATACATATGGCCCATTAGACATTCCTAGCTTTTTCTCTCACATGTATTAAAGTTATGCTTTCAACAGATTAGGCCTAAATTCTACCACTTTAAACATGCTTAAAATTAAAGTCATATTACATATATATAAGACCCTAATGTTTCCCAGATTATAGAGTAAGATTTTGTATAACATACATACAGTAATATCTGTACATCTGCCATTATTCCATATGATACACGTTGATTTTGAAGGTTAAAATATATATTCTAAATATGTATTAAATTCTCTAGCTAAATCCCATTGCAACTGGTGTAACTGCCCTATTACTTCAGGTTTTTGGAAAAACAGGAAGCTGTACACTAAAGACTACAGTACCTAGGTACAAGAAATGGTGCAGCCAACATGAAAGCTGTTTTGTCTTTTGCTACTGCAACATAGAAATAGCCAGAAATGATTTCAGAAACTTACCACTTTCCAAGCAGACTCTCCGACAGATCTTGTTCAAAAGAAGTTCTTGACGTAATCGAAAAACTTCAGCTTCTAGTACTTCAACTTTCGATCTCCAGCCAAAATCTTGTTCAGATACAATTTTGGCTAGGTGCTCAGTGTATTCTTTGCAGCTTTTCCCTGGTGGCTTTGAGTGGATAATTGCAAAAGCCAGAGCCAGTTTTGATATTTTCAAATACCAGACTTGATTTTCTCTTCTGCCTTTGTCTTCTATTACATTAGGAAAAAACAAAAACAGAAAATAACATCACCATGACTTTATCAAAGCAAATTATGCACACTCTTTTTTTGGCTTTGAAAACTGTTCAACAGTGAGACCAATTATTTTATTTCTAGTGCATTCCTAAAATCAATCAAAGAGAAGAACCATAAACAGTTGTCCACAATGTGAAAACAAAGTATACATACATGAGCTGCGCCCCAGCTATAACAATAAAACTCAGTGTTTGAGAATAATTATGTAAATTAACAAGCACTTCAAATAGGCTTATTCTGGCAAAATGTTAAATGTAAACGTTGTCTCCACTAAAACAAAAATGAAAACATTAAGAATCCTAAAAAACAAACAAACAAAACTACTAAAAACCTAACAGCACGAGTGAAGAATGGGGCTATACTAGCTTAAACCCAACACATACTATTTCTTCATAGTGTACCAAAAAGACCCAATTCTCAAAAAAATAAAAAGTAAACACCTGAGGATGTTGGTAGTTTCCAGCTTTGGACACCTGGTAATGCTGCACTTCTGGTCCTAAATCTACATTATATCTCAGGCCTGCAGAAAGTCTTTGCTGAGAAGTACTGTTACAAAAAGCAGACTAAAGCTGGAATAAAGGTGTCTTTTCTTTCCTATTCTTGCCATCAACATCCATAAATTTAATCTCCTCCCTTCAAAGTAAGAATATACATCTTCACTCATAACTCACACAACTTCACTTAGAAGTAAGGTTCTTCACAGCAGTCAAGTAAGCTTTGAAACAAGAACTTATAATATATGCATGAACACAGGCAAGTGTAATTTTGTAAGTGTAAAATGACTGCATTGACAAAAAACACATCCTGAAGTTTTCTAATTTTATGGATTATAGGAACAAACAAATGAAAAGTAAAGAGGAGACTGAGGTGAAAACAAAATATGGCTACAAGAGAACATCAGACAAGAAAAAGAACTTCAAAGTGACATAAGTGGCTAGTAAGACAAGCAAGGACATTTTTATAAGCTCTTTTACAAACCGCAAGGATGAGGCAAATGGAATTACTGGGGTCAGAGAAAGAAAAGGCTTATCTAGATGATTATGTTATGGGCAATAGCACAGGACTTAGGAACAAAAAGGGAAAAAAATAAATGAAAAACATCAAGTAAAATCCAGGCTAACTAGCAATATTTTATTATTACTTTTTTTTCTAATTCTGCACTATTTTCATTCAGTATTTCACACCATGTTTACTTAAAAAACAACAACAAAAAAAACCCACATTATTTCCAGAAGAAAAAAAAGCCTTCTTATGCTTTCATCCTGGCATTAACACAAAAATTATCCATAATACTATTTTTTTCCCTCTCATTTTGCACGATTATTAGATAACAAGTACTATAATAAATTGTGTCAAATAACTGTGAAAAATAGTAATAGCACAGGTTTCAGTAAGGGACTTTATATCACCCTTTCACCAGATCATCTGATACCATTAAGCTGATTTCTTCCTTTGGTTCTCCTCAGCTTCGGACAGTAAGGCATATAACACCATGCACTTATTTATCCAGCACATGCACTTAGAGAAGAGTTGCCTTTCAATTACTTCCTTTACCTATCCTATAAAACGCACAAACAATTCCTGTGCATTCCTTGCATGTTATCCATTCAGATACACCAGTCACATTTTGAAGTGTGAGCAGAGGATAAGACCACAAGGATTCCTGAGGATCTACCACAGCCATTCTCTAAATTATTTTTCTCCACTTGAAACACGACATTCCTGCTCTGCCAGTGCAAAAACAATTAGTCTAAGCCACCAGGGCACTGATAAAGATTAATGAAAGAGTAAGCCCTTAGAAACTGCACAATACTATCTATACCCACTGCCTAAAGCAGTCGAACATTAAATAAATGATACTTCATATATAATTTCTTCCTTGTAAAATCTATTTCACTCAACTTTTCCATTCATAGCTAGGAACTCCATTGAAAAACTGCAAGTTAATTCCCTCAGCCCCAAAGAATCAACATCTCTGTGGAACAACTAATTGATTTAAGACACCCTTTCGCCTTATATATCAAAGGAAATGTTTTGCAAATGCAGAACCACACAAGCAACTAAGCTACTGTCAAAGCTGTGACTAAAATGAAATACATAGGACCACACAGGAAAAAAAAAAAAAACAGTAACAATTGGGGATCCAGCATTTTTGGTTCTGAACTGATGTGGTCCCCAGATTATCTCATCTTCTTAAATAGAAGTTTCACCTAGGTATCACTCAAACTGCATGTCAAGCTCTATTCTTGCTAAGTTCCCTTGCAGAGCAGAGCCAAAAACTCAGGCAGCCAGAAACTCTTCTTACAAATTGCTTTCATTTCTGGTTTATCATTTTGATATCTCTGGAGACTTCTTTGCAAAAGCTTTCTGATTCACCTCCTTTAAAAAAAATATACAGGCTCACTTTCCACTCTATAACATGTACGAGCCAGTACGAGCATTTTCCCATAAATTACATTCTGGAAAGCTGCAGAAGGATAAATATTTCGGTATGGGTCAGGAGACGATATTTAATTTCAGCTCTTTGTGACTGTTTATATACCTTTTATCATTAGAGAATCAACATCAACACCTTCTTTTCATGCAGTTTATTTCTACTCATGCACCAGACAAAGAGCCAAAGTCTGCTGTTTGACCACTGATACTTCATCGCCATGCGCTTCACGTGTCTCAGCCCATAACTCTGCATTGGCAAAGGAAGTAAATAAATCCACATAGCCTCTAAAAATCCACTATTGACAGAACATGTCTACATTACTTGAAGTAAAACCCAAGAATTCTGGAAGTTCTCTCTGACTATCCCAAGTTTGCAGCCTTTGTAATTGAAATATCCAATGATTCACAGTCAAGAAAAAAGTGCCCTCCCTCACACCCCCCAAAACTAGACAAGTATTCTAAGCAACTGGTGGGAATAGTTGAGACTGAATTTCTGCAGCTCGAGAAAGAGTATGAAATGCTGCTTTAGTAAGATTTTTCCCTACTTAGGGCATTATTGAGTCACTTTGTTTTCCTTTTTAGAGGGCACTACTATATTTTAATCAGAGCATAACACTTAGTGGACATATTATACAACCCAGACACAGATAAGCAAAAGGCTCTTTCACCACACTGAAATGTTACTTACTAAAGGCAATATATGACTAATAAAACACATAAACCATACTAGTTTTGCTTCAAAACACTGAGCAGCATTCCACCTTAATACTTTGGACATAGAGTTAAGCCTTTTCCTCTTTAACATCTTCAATATACCCACTTTTACAGTAGGAGTACCTTATACTGAATGAGCTTAATGATGTGCTCTTACTCTGAAAAAAGAATTGCTTCTTTTGTGGAAAAATTCCCTGTAAAGATGTTGTTCAAAAGAAAAAAAAAAAAAAAAAGCAGTACTGATTACAAAGTTGGAGAAAATTCTGCTGGAATCTCAAAATCTCATTTTAAATCAAGTAATTTATAAGAAATGATGATATACCTGCATGTATTTCTGGAACCAATGTATTTCATACAAATTTTATTGGGTACACAGCTTGTTTACCTTCTTCCTATTGCTCTCCCATCACCATCTCTCTCCTTTTTTCCTTTTTTATGATCACGGAAAGAGAAGGCTCCGGGAGAAAAAGCAGCAGCTGTAAGAATGGATTCAAGTTTTCCACAACTCCCTAAACAGAAAGCCACTCTCTCACTAACCACTGCAAAAGTATCCTAGAAAATAACTCAGTGGTTGATGCTGTTAGATATGGGGGTCCTTGCCAATTGTGCATTAGCAAAAAGTGCAGAGCAATCTGTTGCTCTCGGGAAGCGCTGCACCGAGGACCACCAAATGCGAATGCATTCCACTAAAAGCATATTGGCAGCTACAGAGCTGTATCAATGCTATTTTCCCTCATATCAGCATAAAAGTGACACCAGTGGTTAGGCACAAAAAGAAAAAAAAAAAAAAAGAAAAAAGGTTCAAAACCAAACCAGAAATTTTCCTTGGTTCGGGATAACACAACGAGAGCAGAAAGAAGTAGGTCTAGCTGACTAGTGCCAAAATATATCTGATAGGAACCAGTAGGATGAGGAATTATCCAGCAAAACAGAACTGGTACCCAAGTTACTCAGGGAGAATAGCTACTTACTAACAAAGCTCCACTTGCGTGTTCACTCAATGGTTAAAGAGGAAACCACTAACACCCAGCAAAAACACCCTGCTAGAAGTGGGAAGCAGTACCCCAACAACAGATATCAACTGGTAAGTTCCCTGTGCAAAGCCTCGATCCACAGACTGATCCTGGAAGTGCAATCAGAAGATGGGATCAGCTAAAACTGCTGTCAAACAGGACGGGGCCTCCAGTTTCTTGACCCAAATAAGGAACCCTTTCTCCAGCCCTCTAACTCAACCCTGTTGAGGTCCCAGCTGAGAAATCCTTCAGCTGCTGAAATAATTCCAAAAGAAGTCATCAACCATCCTATACAGCTGTGTGTTAGATAACAAGGGGGACTAAGAGGTAGTGTAAGATCCTTTGAGGACCTTAGATATAAACAGAAAAACAGAAACGGGCTAAATCTTACTACACCAATTCGCCAGTCCTGCTGTTGTGCAGCTGCATATGATACAGCATTTCATATTACACCATCAGCTACAGCAAGATACCTTTATGGCAAGTCTCACCTCAGTTTTAACACTGTCTGCTACACATGAAGAGGAAAGAATTCTCAAATAAAAAAAAAAAAAAAAAAGCTATTTTCAGGTGATCACTGAAGTCTGCTTTCTTTCCATTGAGAAACTTCATGTATTTAGGACTACTCTAAAGGCCAAAGATTTCCCATTATTGGTAAAAATATATATATATATATATATATAAAATTGTTCATTATTTAAAAAAAAACAACATTCAAAACACCTATTAAAGCCATGAAACTTGCACCTAAATTTAAATCACTCACTAAAATCATTTAAGTAACTAGAGTACACTATCGTTTGCTTCAGATTTCTTTTGCATGCAAAATTAAAGCAGCCTAATTTAAAAATATCAACTCTGACCATGAATACCAGTACTTGAAAGAAATACAAATTCACGTGAATTGGAAACAGAGGCAGGAGCTCTGAAGCTCAGTACAAGTCTGCCAGCAGTTCAAGCATCCCTGTTCGTATCAGCTGGCTGCTGAACAGCACTACCACAAGTGGCTGATTGTGCACCTCGCTAGTTAGTGGTCCCCACTTGCCTCCCTCTATAAGGTTCTCAAAAACTGAAAGTTGAGCTCTTGCACAAGGACATGAAACAAAGAACTTCCAAAGTCCTGCTACCTGGCACAAAAGCATCCCTTCCACCCCAGCACTCTCTTGGCTGTTGGCAGATGCCTTTCTACCTCTTACCTGTTTCTTACTGTTTCTTTTTTTCACCGTTAAATACACACAACTAAACAGTGCAGTTCAACCTCCTGAATGCATAGCCGTTGCTTTCTTTGCAGCACACAACACCAAATTAAGTCTCTAGAGTAATATATATGTAACATAAGAATATATATATATATTCTTATGGATGCTTTCTGGCTTTTTTTTTTTTCCTCTTTTCCTCATGCAGAAATTGCAATAGCATCAACCACAGGCTGATAGGGATACCAATTTTCTGTTTGAACACTGTCCCGGGGAGCCTGTTCCAGCACCTGGCCACCCTCTCAGTGAAGAACTTTTTCCTGACATCCAGTCTGAACCTCAGTTAACCCAGAAAGATCCTCTAACATCACCAAAATGATAACCCTGGGCCAAACCAGACGTACTTCATTCTCCCTCATCGAGTTCTGGGTTCCTCTACTGGGCACCGACCACAGAAAGTGCCTGCCAGACACAGAGGGATTAGCTAATTGGTTCACACAAGCAAATCCTCAGGTCAAGAGCTTTTAAAAAGTATTTTGGAAGTTATTTATGGGTAAGGGACGTGAGTTTTAAATAAATAATCTTCTTGAACTCTACCTATAATTTTCTGACTGACCTCGAAGACATGGAAATTACAGGATGGGGGTGACAGGATGGAGAAGGGGGTTAAATGAGTGCTTTTATAAAAACACAGTTATACTGTGATTTAAAATAAGGCACCTCAAAATACAACCAAAACCTGAATTTGTTTGAAATAATTCAGTATTAGAGGAATACTCATGTCACAGGACTACACACCTTAGGCCTGATTCCTAAGTTTATCCATGTAATTCATGGCTAATAATGGAAGAAACTTCTTCAAATTCCATTGGCAAAACCTTACTGTTTACAGGACATTTATTTCTTATTCAGAACATCATCATCTAAGACTGAAAGCTCTAAAAATTAATACAGTAAGACACAAAATAGACTATAACTCAATTAACTTCCAGGGCATCAAGGGCTTAGTTCTCTTCACATGTGAAATAGATGATACACATTAAAGGACTGGTCTGTCAATTTCACGCTGAAGACAAAGGTGAAAATATTGCCAGTATCTGTGTAACCTCATTGTGCGTTACATGACAGCAACCAAGACACTGACCTATTATAATGGCACACAAAACAGGTCACAAAATGATGCGAGTGCTCTAGCGGAACTGAGCTGAGCTGCAGACACATATGGCTATAACATTAAGCAACGATAAAATAAACTTGATTTAATTAGTATGCCAAACATAATACTGTCTTTTATGCATATAATAAATAATGATAATGGGACAGCTGCATAATCAAGATGAACTAAAGTATGCCTTGTGTTCCAATTAAGCAGCTTTTATTGTAAAAATGTATAAAATGCATATTAAACCAAAGCTGCTTGATGGTGTCATTTTTAAACAACATAATATACAAACATATGTAATGTAGATATAGTTACTGAGGGAAACATTCAATTTTACTACCATAATCTGAAACAATACCTCCAGCATATTCTTTTGTTGTTGTTGTTTATGGACTCAAGATGCTAAAGTGATACTGAAAATAATAAATATTTAAAAGATGTTATATCAAAAGCACAAGGAAACTTGATTAAAACGCACCATGAGATTTATTTCTTCAAACCATTTAACTCTTAAAGCATTTTAGCTTCTAAAATGGAGTCATAAATTCTCCAAAAACAATTAAGAACGATTTGAAAAATATGTTAGAGCTTTTTAACATTCACCACCTGTAAACATTGCCTAGCGTTAAGAACATAAGCAAGCATAACCCCTCAGGATTTTGGTAAAACTGAAGAGTCAGGATTTATCTCCTCTTAACTACAGAAATCTACAGTGCAGACGGCTACAGCTGAGTTAACTGTCTAAACTTCCTTTAGAGATCAATGGGCAGAAACAGGGATTTCTAATAACACTTTGTCAAGTGATTTGTACCTCTGCCTTATGATGACATTGTTCATGGCCCAGAAACGTTTGTTTCCCTCCTTGGACTACAAACGGAGCTCAAATGATGGGATCAGATGCACATACACATATTGTGCACTATGAGATGAGTGCACCACAGGCACCTAAAGCTCAGACCTGCAAAAAATACTTAGATGTCTAGCTAACAAGTGAAATTATGCAGGGTTAAAATAAATACTTTTTAAAGTAAGTTTGTAATTCTAGGTTTTCTGAACACCTCAGAAGGAATTAAGTTTTCTAGAATAAAACACAGAAATCATGGAAAAACTTTGAGAACCTTGAACATTTCAACAGTGTTCATGCACAAAAAATCTTGGCATACAGATGCCAAGTAAAACACGAGAGGCATCAAGTATCTAGAAGTCCAGAATTAAATAAACATGAAACAACTAGATTGGCCCTTCATAAAGTTTATCCGCATTAGTCTTACGCAAGATCACATTAGAAAATTATACTTTATTTCCTCCCATTTTAAAATGTGTAAACTCCCATTTTTAGCTATTAAAGAAAACTGCCTTCTGCATATATATACACATATATACATATATATAGTGTATATATATATATACACACACACTTGTGGCTGAGAAGGCAATTTATATATAATACATATATATTTCCATAACTGTATTACATGCTTAGATTAACTCTTTCAAGGTTTGAACTGTTTTGGCATTTTGGTTTCTGAACAGAACCAGCTGACTGTTGTTTTTTTTCTTTTCCCCTAACATGCTGTTGCAGTGAAACAAACATAGAAGAATCCTAAGTCACTCAAAAGTTCAACCCTGTCAATCTTATTAAAGAAACATTACAAAGTATTGGCAGCAAGGACAGCTTATGCACTACAGGAGCCTTAAAGAAATAAAAGGATTCTACTTTTGTTCTATACCCATCAGAATAGGCCAAGTAGAAAACCCTAATGTAAGCCTGAGATTTCTGATCATTTTAAATTATGTGTATGTTCTCCCTTGAAGCTGAGAGTTCTTCCTTTTGCACTTTTTTCTCCACCAACATTTTTTTTTTTTTTTGGCTGTGGCTCTTACAATGCTATCTAGTGAATCTGACACACATTACAAGTACCACTACCATGTTTTTCTTTACTATTCTCAGCAATGAAGATGTGTGTATGGATGTAAAAGGGCATTTATTCTACAAAGCCCACTGCTCAGAAATTAAAGTATAACCGGGGTGGACATCTTTCTGCTCTTATTTTAGCATGTAATTTTTTCCCCTACAGAAACAAAACTGTAATTAGTTGGAAATTGAGAATATATTTCTCATTACTGCTTTACAAAATACACTGTGAAAGTCAGATCTTTAGTCATTTACAAAAATTCACATGTTGCTAATAGTATTTAGTCACATAAAAGGATAAATTTACAGTTGACATTTTGGACTATGAATATATGTATCTTTACATAAAGATACATAAAGACTATCTTTAGTCTTTATATACTGCCAAGTTGCAACAAAAAAGTTGCTGTACCTCCAAGCTTTATCTACTGCATTAGTTCCTGAATTTAGAATTTCAGAGAAGAATTTTAAAAAGGCAATCATAAACCGTTTGGGAGATTATACAGGGATTATTTGGCTTCTTTCTACTTCCCACGTTAAAAAAATATACTGAATAAAACATTACCATACTTTTCAATTTCACATTTCCAACCTTTATCTGAACAGTTCCATTCTCACAAGTTTTTTATATCTGCAAAATCAGTAGCTTTCAGTGAACAAGCAACTTGCAGGTAACTTAGCAGAAAGCTTGGCTTCCTCACACAAATTTTATACTGGCAGAATGAAAGATGAGTTTGTTCAAGAGAAGCCAAATGTTTTTTGAGACAAAGAGAAGAATAGCAGGCTACTAGGAATTTAGTACTCTAAAAAGCATACAGTATCTGATGAAGAACAAAGCTTTATATTTATTATAGATGATAACATAACAATAACCACAATTAAATGCATAGTTCTTGAATATCGTTTTGTGAAGCACTGGAAGTTGTAAAAGATAGTCACAGTGAAAGTGACTTGTCAAGCATTCACAACCAAGTCTATAGGAAATAAATTACTTCTTACACTTCAGTTCTGTTCAATTACTCCTTTATTCACAGCTCACCCTGAAGAGCCCCGTCCCAACAAGCCGAGCCATGGCAGCCCAAAGCAGCCCCTCACACAGCTTGCCCAGGACAAAATGGCTCCAGGTTCACCAGGCCCACGCAGGCAGACAGTGATCAACTGCTCACATGCTGAAACAAAGATGTCTGCTTCTGACACTGGATTCACTGGTGCACCAGATAATTACCAGATCTCCACACAAAACATGATATTTACAAACACACTGTCTCCCCACACAGCAACAGCAGTGGCAGGCCATGCACTCACACCAACAAAATGGCGTCTGGGTGGGGGCATCTCCTCAGGCCGGTGCCCAGCACCTTCACCCAGCCACCCTTAGCATTTCCCTGGCCCTATGGAGAAGGCTTTCAGGAAGCCTCAACCCACCTGCAGCAGGACCCCTGCTTTGGGGGACGCTCCGGAGCTCCATGGCAAGCCCTCACAGGCGGCACACTCAGATCCACGCTGCCCCCTCACAGGTGGCAGCCCAGCCCCAGGGCTGAGGGGCTGCACTGGGGTAGGCAAGCTCCTGGCTCCAAGCCTGCCTGGGCCCTGCCAGGCCCTTGCTTAGGCTGAGGGAAAAACAAGGCTGGGGAAGCATGGAAGCCTTGTAGAAGATGGCCAAATTAACAACTACCTCCCTGGTTTCAGAAAGGGAGTCCCCCTGCACGAGGGAAGTGGGCATGCAAGGCTCTGAGAGGTGCAGAGGCAGTGGCTTGGTTCATGGGCTGGAGCTGCTAGTCAATAAGGCTCTTAATTTTACTTTTCATGTTGGCTGTTGAGGTGGTGTTTTCATTTAGAGCTCATCATCATCACCTGTGTCTCATAAAGTGGTCCTCCATGTTTTTATGCTGGTGGGTGCTTGGTGTCAAGCTGACATTAGTTTTATTGAGTAAGAAGGTCTCATGAACTTCTTGATTAATTAGGTTCTCTTTTCTTGTTTGGATATCCATGAGATCTTAAAAACTTTGAAACAGTATTTCTTTAACAGTACATCAGAGATGTATGCTCCCTTTTGGCTTACACACTGTGATCAAAGCTTGCCAATCAGCTGAAGAAGTTATTATTGTATGTATAATTAAATTCTTTACAAAAGCTATGCTGAAAAGTTTGTGTTAAGTCCTTCTTGGCCAGAAATGGTCTCTCAGCAGTTGATGAAGGAGGAGAGGGAGGGCAGGAGGCAAGATAAGAAATCAGTAAGGGAGTCGGTTGCATTGGAGTTTATCAAAATATATAAAACTCCTCAGTATAGGAGGACTGATCTTTATAAACACAGAAGTATTCAGCTATGACAAGTAATATGTATTTTTAAAATTCTCACCCCCCCTTTTTTTCTTGGATAATTTAAACAGCTTTGTTTTCAACACCTTAAGCTAATTTATTAAAAAAATCCTAATGCTTTTATCAAGATACATAGTGTCAGATTTCTGATCTTTTTTTTTTTTCCTTGAAAAATAAATTCACCATTCTCACTACAGAAAACTTAACACATTGCAACTTTCATTTTATACTCCAAATGATAAAAATAAATTAGACTGAATAATTTAGAGAGTATTTTCTTTCTGACGGTGCTACTTATTTTTCAGTGAAGCCCAGGGGAAAAAATAACAAAATATTCTCCAGACTTTTTATATTACTATTTTACTTCACAACAACTTACCAGCAGCCATACTTTGTTTATCCTTTCCTGTGTATCTCTGTGCATCTGCTGTGCATAAAAGTGATGCAGATACTTCTCAAAGTGGACACTCATTATGTAGAACAAAATGTCCATGTTTTCACATAATCTTTTCAGTTGTGACTGAAAGAAAAAATTGAGAGACATAGAAACATAGAATCATTTAGGTTGGAAAAGACCTCCAAGATCATCAAGTCCAACCATGACATTAGTGCTTTTACCTGCAATTCTGGGTTTTATATACAGAAAGCTGAATGTAAAAGGCAGAATTAGGCAGAAGCAGTGTTATTACTGTCTAAAACTAGGAAGTGACTCTGACTGTTTTTGTTGTTGTTGTTGTTTGTTTGTTTGCTTGTTGTTTGTGTATTTTTTTTTTTTTTGGTTTTGTTTTAAAGTACCGGTGGTACCCACAAGGGTAGGCTTGTTGAGAGACATCTACCAAGTCTGAGACCTTTTACCACTAAATAGCTGCCAGTTAGAATGTTTTAGACTTGATTATTTTGTACTTAAACATTCAAGATCTGCATAAATTTAATTTTAGATTCACAGCTCTTTTGGGGGGGATTAGAAACTAATGGTAGATAAAAGCAATGTGTCTCAAACTTCTAAACTCATTGTATGCACTTTCAGAATGCAAGCCATGTACACTTTACAGTTTTTAGTTTTTTATTTTAAATTAAATGAAGCATCCCAATATTTTAAGGTGGAAAAAACTTTCTCTCTCTCTACCCCCCACCCACCTTCCATTTAAACAGAATATCTCTTTGCTGTTCATCAGAAAGCAGCAAATAAGGGCACAATCGGCTGCAGACTCACTTTGAGAAACATAATTTTGGTCTATTGAAGAACACTTCTCAAACATAACATGTAGCTTTTTTTAAACTTGCATTAACTTTGTGTTCTTAACACTTCCAGTGATTACATAATCTAATAGATTAGCTTCGCAATCAAGGAACAATGTGTGTGCAAGCTAGTTACATCCAATAAATAAAAAATAAGATACAATTTCCATTTTAATACCCAAACACTGGGTGATTATTACTGCATGTAATCTCAAGTGAAGCAACATTAAAACCAAGCTTTGATTTCAAATAAGGAGTTTGTATATCATGAAGGGAACTGACTCTACTAGCTGCTGATAAATTCTTTTGATCTCTGTTTCTGAAGATGCCTTTTGATCTGAAAAATAGTCAAAGGATATACTCATGGCACAAGGTCATACAAAATAATTAGCTGCTTTTATTAATAATTAAACATAAAAGCGGTGCAGGTGTTTAATTGCATTAGAGATCGTGCATTCTCGGTATTTAACCAATCCATACACTGAATAATTACAGACAAGTCAGTGGTCAACTAAACACAAAAACACAACCTTCAATCAATTGTTAAGTGTAAATGAATTATATCACTGTAGAACATGCAGGCCCTGCTCTTACTGGATGCCTGCAGTATCAACAATTAGAACAAACATGAAAGTATAACTTTTCTTTTGGAGAACTACAATTTGTCAGAATTCATTAGACATCTTCATGTTTTAGCACATCTCAATTTACCCACGGGCTGGAAGTGTCTAAAAACACATAGGAAATATGTTGTCTCAACAGATGTAGTTTGCAGTTTTGTGTAGTTTATGTGGAGTAAGAGATGTGCCAGTTTGAGAAGAGTGAGTGAAAATCACTTACAGGAATGTCAGTGTCTTCTCATATGAGCTTTCATTCTTCTATGTTACAGTGCTATATATAATTAAAGATAAAAATTTTGGCATCATGCATCTTCATTACTCAGCATCACGCTCTTCAAAATGGATTGTAATATGTTTGTGATGGCTCTATTCTGTATGTAATTACGATGACATAAATATGGTTCAAGTACATTATTAGCCTCTTTGATCATAATCTGCAATTCTTAACAAATCATCTGATTTAGGATGTTCATGAAGTTATGCAATGACTTCTTTGTTACTGTTCAGAAATAAAGCATCACCATCAGGAAGGAAAGATAACACTTCAGCAGCTGAAGAAATGAAAATCTCGCTTCTCCAAAAGCAATGTAAAAACTTAGGCACAATTTGAGAAGAACAGGGAAACAAACAACACTCACTACTAATTGGATGCGACATACCATCAGTTATCATGGTATGCTTTGTTATGAAGAAATACTTTACAGTGCTTTATTTAAATGTTAGCACTTACATAACACTGTAAAATTAGATGCACACACACGATATGACAGCAGAATCCATTCTCTTCTCTTCTACTAAACAAAGAGAAAACCTTTCCCTTCAAGGATTTCACTGTCTAGAAACCAATACAAAAAGATCCCAGTGAAATCAGGTAAGGAAAAAAGGGCAAAAACATCCTGGCAAGTAATCCAAATGATGGTCATATTTTAATGTAGACATGTTTAAAAATGATGTGACAATGTAACAGACACTTTTCTGAATTTGCATTTCATCATTGATCTCAGACTAACCAAACAATTTTGTGAGAGTTTATTCTTCGTTTCCATTTTACAGGACAACAGACAACTGGAAAGAAAGAAAAAATAATGTAAGTACATATAAAAATTTTTCAATTAATTTATTACTTCATGATTCCATGAGCTTTTCTTTTTGAATATTAGAGTTGTGAAATATCTATCCTATGACAAAGAAAATTCAGATTACATTTCCACACATGGGGCTAGAATCAAAGAGCTTCTAAGGCATGTAAGTCCTCCCTAACTACCTGAGAATACAGAAAATTAAGTGACTTAAAATATCTACATTATTTGGATTTATGCTGAGACATATTGATTGGCATTCCTCTGTGAAAACATTGGGTGTTAGATGAATTACAGGCTACAATGTTAATTTCCTATTAATTTCCAGGTTCATGGACCTATTATAACAAGTCCAGAGGAGTTGATCAGAGGGCTGGAGCACCTCTCCTATGAAGACAGGCTGAGAGAGTTGAGGTTGTTTAGCCTGGAGAACAGAAGGCTTCAGGGAAATCCTGTAGCAGCCTTCCACTACCTAAAGGGGGCCTACAGAAAAGCTGGGGAGGGACTCTTTGTCAGGGAGTAGAGTGATAGGACAAGGGGTGACGGCTTTAAACTAAAAGAGGGTAGGCTTAGATTAGATACTCAGCAGAAATTCTTTACTCAGAGGCTGGTGAGGCCCTGGCACAGGTTGCCCAGAGAAGCTGTGAATGCCCCATTCCTGGAGGTGTTCAGGCCCAGGCTGGATGGGGCTTTGGGTAACCTGATCTAGTGGGAGGTGCCCTGCCCATGGCAGGGGGGTTGGAATTAGATGATCATTAAGGTCCCTTCTAACTCAAACCATTCTGTGATTCTGTGATTTCTTCCAACTGACCTGAACGGGTCTGGCATAAGTTTTGATCAAATTCATCTTTGGAACATACCTGCTTAATTGCAATTCACACACACACAAAAAAGTCACATGCTACCTCACTTAATACAGAGCAGTAGTGTTAGTGTTGCTAGCAGCTGTCTAGGCAGTAGCTTATTGTTCAGGGATTGAGAGATAGAGAATATTTTTTTTTCTTTGGGGGATATTTGCACCTTGGCTCCCATAGGAGCACTGCAACCTGTAAGCAAGATGGTGTTACCAGACAGAAACATGTTAAGGTACATACTATCTGTATTTTGTGAAAGACATGACTATTCCAGATCAGGGGAACTTTCAGATCTGTGAACTGTATATGGGCCAAAGTACTCTTCTTCCTGCAGTTCACAAAATACAACATTTTCTCATTTTGTGGAAGCATATATTTACATATTCTGATGTGCACACGTAGATAGTAGTTGACAGACCTAGGTCTATGGGCTAAGCAGTCCTGTTTAGTCTCCAAAATTAGGGCAACTTCTTCCCTCAAAAGACATGTATTGCTCTTGTAGGTGAGGAGGGGCAGGGCAAGCTACTCAGCCATGTCACCATTTCATTCAGTCAAAAGGTGTTTTGTCAGTCTGCTGTAATTCTAAATGTGTCCCACTGTGTTTAACAAGATAAAACAGTTAATTCATTTGTTTTTCCTAGTGTGAAATGTAGGCTTCATAATAAATTATTAAAAATGTACATTCATGAAGC